ACACTGTCAAGACTGTTGTAAGTCTCACAATAAGTGCTTTAACAGACCTTAACTGGATCTGATATGGGCTAACTTCTTGAGGGTGTTTTTTTCCTGGGGGGATGGGGTGGAGGGCATAGTTTTGCACTAATTTTTCAAACCCCTTTGTGTGAATCACTGACAGAATGCTCTTACTTCTGAAGCATGGTGAAAGCCCTCAATTAAAACCAGAAGGCAAGTTACACTCCCTATCTGAATTTGAAGACATTCACTAGAATGCACATTAAAAGTCTTTGTTTTGAAGTACATTTACCAATTCTAATGGGTCTAGCATCTCACTGAACAAGTAATCAAACAGCTGGCAACAAGAAAGTCATAGCAGAGAAGGATTTTCTTCAGCGTTAACAAGTATCTATGGTTTCTATTGTACTTTTTTTTAACCTACCTGCTTTTGTGTCTATAGTCTGCTTTTGTGTCTATAGTGGTCTTTCAAAACTAAAAGAGATTTCTCCATTCATTTTTCCATAAAGGGTTGTGAAGCAACATGTCTGGGGAGGAGTGCAGGAGTACTGAGCTTATGGTAGCAACTGCAAGGTTAGAACTTCCTTCACCCAGCCCCTTCCATTAAAGAAACACACTAAGCTCAGTTTCTTTGATTTGCTTCTGAGTCAGTAATTTAAACCTTTTGGCAGAATTGTTAACAGTTATAGGAGACTCAGGAAATATGCTTTAGGTGGCTCTGAAGCTGCTTGTTCATTCAGTAGCCTTAGCTATGGTTCTATGCTCCATCCAGGGGCTATAGTGAGCACCTTTACTAAAGAGATGTTTGTCTGCTTTGCTAAACAGTTACTCTTCACCTCACTGCTACTTGAGGCTGTTCTTACAGAGGGGTCACCTGTCTGATACAAATGGGTTGAGTTTATAATCTCCCTTTCAAAACCTAATAGTTCTAGATACTTATCCTGCATTTAAAATGTAGAACACTGTTAATACTCCCTTGAGCTAATCACTGCTCCCTAACTTCCATTAGCATGAGTGTCCTCCTTTTTTGACAGGAAAATACCCTAGAAATACCAAATTATTCCAGTCTTTTGTGTAGTTTTCAGCTCGTGCTTCCAGTGGAAGTAGCCATTAGCAGCAGAAGTATTATATGTCCAGCAACTGCTGGATTTCCTAAAGCATAACTTCGCTGGGAAGGCTCTGATAAAAACACATAATGCTCACAGCAGTATAGTCCTAAAGCTGGCAAAATGACCTTCCCTCAGTGGTGTTCCTAGGATAGCACTTCTGTCCAGTTTAGGCAGCATGCTGACTTTATATTTTGATAACTAGCTTAAATATTTTACAGCATATAATTGGAGAAGATGAAATTTTAGAACTGGAGCATTTGTTAGTTCCAAAATCAATATATCACTTCTTCAAATTCTAAAACTACTTTTAAAAAATAGGTACTTCCTCCACCGTTTGATAGGAGAAATCCCTCACTATAGCAGGGACTGACTTTGCAATATAGGACAAGCTTACGAGCTTTTAAAGCACAGAGTTGGCATGCACTAGTCTAGTTGACGACACCAAGCTGTGTGGGCGGCTGACATCCTGGAGGGACTTCGACAGGCTGGAGAGGTGGGCCCAGGCCAACCTCATGAAGTTCCACAAGACCAAGAGTAAAGTCCTGCCCCTGGGTCAGGGCAATGCCAAGCACCGATATAGGTTGGGCAGTGACTGGCTTGAGAGCAGCCCTGAAGAAAAGGACTTGGGGGTACTGGTGGACGAGAAGCTCAACATGAGCCGCAAGTGGCACTTGCAGCCCAGAAAGCCAGTCGTATTCTGGGCTGCATCAAGAGGTGTGTGGCCGGCAGGTCGAGGGAGGTGATTCTCCCCCTCTACTCCACTCTCATGAGACCCCACCTGGAGTACTGTGTCCAGTTCTGGAGCCCACAGCACAAGAAAGATGTGGATATGCTGGAGCGTGTCCAGAGAAGGGCCACGAGGATGATCAGAGGGCTGGAGCACCTCTCTTATGAAGAGAGGCTGAAGGAGTTGAGGCTGTTCAGTCTGCAGAAAAGAAGGCTGTGAGGAGACCTTATTGTGGCCTTCCAGTATCTCAAGGGGGCTACAAGAAAGCTGGTGAGGGGCTTTTTAGGATGTTCGGTAGTGATAAGACTCGAGGATTGAAGCTAGAGATGGATCGGTTCAGATTGGACGTGAGGAAGAAGTTTTTCACCTTGAGGGTGATGAGACACTGGCACAGGTTGCCCAGAGAGGTGGTGGAAGCCCCATCCCTGGAAGTTTTTAAGGCCAGGCTGGATGGGGTTCTGAGCAGCCTGATCTAGTGGGTGATTTCCCTGCCCATGGCGGGGGAGTTGGAACTAGATAATCTTTAAGGTCCCTTCCCATCTTCTATGATTCTATGATGGTATAGAAATCTTGTTGCCCTGACATTCTATGATGGTATAGAAATCTTGTTGCACTGCCCTGCGTGTCCACTTTGGTTTATAGGTTGTGACTGCAGAATTGTTTCCCACCATGAATTTGAGGCTGAAGGAAGTGTTTTCCTTTTAGTCAAGGATTATAATAGGACTCACTGGAGTGAAAAGCCTGTCTTAAGTAGAACATTCTTCTTTAATACTACAACACTGTCAATGCTGGTTAGGCATTGAGTTGCCATTTTTTAGGATTTGCACACGTGTTCTCTTAGAAAGTTGCATTTTTTTCACTTATCAGCCCATTTGCAATTCATACTGCACCATCTGCAGCAAGCTTTTAAGAACAAGAACAGGGCAGTGAGCAAAAAAAGGTAGTGCACTTCCCCTTCTAGTAAGTTTTTTTTACTCGTTGCTGCATGCAGGCACTGCAAGAACTGTTGCTATTCTAGCTTTCTTTCAAAGCTCTGTAGTGACCTCGAGTGGTTGAAGTGTGTAACTTGTCCCCGTAAAACAAGTAAACTGGAGTTTCACTTTCCTGCTCAAGATTAACTAAAATAGACTAATTTTACATTATGAACTAAGACCATCAAAGCATTAGTTAAAAAGAAATCAGACTGTAGATGAAAACATGGTGTTCTGAGCCAAGATCATGGCTAGGCTATGTTGAAGACTACTTTAAGGCTCTAATGTTCAGAACAGTTCTTTACCTTTTTAATAATAAATCTGCAAACACAAACTTTAACCTGTAGTTTAATACTTATATACTGATGGATAGCACCCAGACGTCACAACCAGCGTTTGAGCTCCCTCAGTATCTCTGCCTCAAAGAGCTTACAGTCTAAGCAGCAAAGAAGAAGTAAGAGAAGATAATAACCATGTTTTCTTTTATAGATCAGCAGCTCCTGTCCAACACAGGTCAAATGATTTACCTGCTCTAAGGCACAGAATGTGTGGTGGGAATTAATATCTCTTGAATCGCTGCTGCATGTCTCAGTTAAAAGATGCTCCTTCCTCTGCAAGCCACATTTCTCTTATTAAAAATTAACCCTTTTGGACATCTCAGCCTGAAACTGATTTAAAGTTCAGGACTGTTCTCTGGGTCAGGTTGAGAGCTGCAGGAACTGAACAGAGAACATATCTGTCAGAAGTGTAGCTACTTCACACATTTTCACTTTGTGTGGTCATCTTGCAGGTTTGGAAACTAAACCTGCCACAAGACTAACTGGTCTGGGTTCTATCTACCTTAGGTTGGAAGGGTATTTCCTGCCTTTTCAATTCAGTGGGCTTTCTTTTACATGGTGCAAGAGAAGCCCAAATCTTGGAAAGAAGCACTACTAGAACAAACATCTTCAGCCCTGTCCAGGTTACCATATATGAATCTGTCTTGCTGGTGAGTGCAAGACAGGGGGTAGAGGTAGGGAAGGCTGGTGGAGCAATTTCCTTATCTGGGGCTAGGGATAGGCTGCTATGTTCAGTTTAGACTTCTGAGGAGCCAGACTTTTGAGTTTACGAGAAGAGATTTACTATTTTATTTCAGCTTTGGTAACAAGTTCTTGACTTGGAGGCAGCAGCAGGTTCAGGTTTTTTGTATATGCATCAGCAAACCAAAATAAAATGAGTTGAAGGATGCGCATTGCTGAATCGCCCACTCTCTACCAACATATATGACTGCAGCTAATTGAAAAAAGAGAAAGCTGTTAATATTTTGCACTTTAAACTAAAGAACTTCACTTTTATACTTAGTTGAAAGCTTCTGAAATCAGCACCAATCTCACTGTATACATCACTGCCCTCTGGTCAGTCACTAGTCCTATGTCTTTTGTCAAATACGCATAAAAGAAGATTTCTGATGCTCCATGCTTACAATGATAACTGAAAGATAAGAATGAATAGCCATTAGCAGATAAATTACTTAACAGTAGTTGATAAACAAATACGCTTCATCTATATAAAGCAGTATGTTAATTCACAAGTTAAGTTGTATTGATAGTTGAAGTGGCAATATACAATGAAAAAATTAAATTATCATCACTTGAAAAATAGTCTTGCTTTGTCAGGGAGCTCTGTTTATACATACAGGTAAATGAAACAGCGCTGACCATAGAAGCTGAACAGTCATGCATACAAAAAGTGATCACTTATCAGCTATTGTACAAGTAGTGACACTCCAAGACATACACAGTAAGATTCTTACAAAATGACATCAGAAAGACTGCATGCACCATCCTTCAAGGCCTTATGTGAACTACACATACACAAGACTTGCTGTATACTGTGAATAATACATTGCGGATGTGTATAAATTCATGTAAGATTTAATAGAAAAGTTTCCACCAGCTTATGCTTTATTTTATTCGGAAGGTTTCTTAGCATGTACACTGTTTTGACTAAAACACATTACACCATTTCAGAGTAGAGGTTTCATGTAAGCATAATCTTAAATGCTTTGGTAACTGGATATTCCCAAGGAACAGGTTTTATTAAACCAAACTGATTACTAAAACATGAATATGACTTTTACTCAGAAGAGAAGAATATAGAATATGGCTAATAATTTCACATATTTTCACCAGATACATAAAAAACCCTTTTCAAGTAGATTGGGATTTCTAAGCACAAATAAAACCACTGATAGCGTAGTGTACAACATTTAAAATCCTGATCAAAATGACTTCAGCATAATTGTACATTCCCAAATATATCAGGTTGGCAACTGAGGAAAGAAATGAAATATTAAATGAATAAGTTGACATAAGAGAGTTCTCTCTGTACCATTAAGTTTCATAATAAAATACTGCCATGTGTTTATTTTTAGATATAAGAAGTTTTGTATCAGAGTCTGGTTTACTTCTAAATGGATGAAAGTTTCAACTAAAAAGGTGTTTACACAATATACACATTTCAGTACTTACAAAGAGAAATAAGCTTAAAATTTCATATTAAAAACCTGGGATACAGTAGGGTTAGTAGCACCATGAAAAATGTTTTTCAAACCTGCAGTCTTGCTATTTTAAATATACTCAGTGCGTCGTGTTTTTCTTTATTCTCTTGGTTGATCAAAAAGGTGCCATTTTGGTACAGGGAGAGAAATGAAAAATTTCTTCTTCAAATCGTTTGTGAACCTCAAGTGTTTCCTTCTGTTTCCAAGAGGTCAATTCTTTCATCTTAGTCCTGTTGTCAAATATGTACTGAACAACCCTTAGTTTGGCACATGAGTGAGGTGAATTTGCATGGTAAAACAGTTTTAATTTGTTTTTTCCTTTCTTTCTGCACAGTAGCACCATTGTTGCAGCTAGAAGACAGTGCATCTTAGGAATTTTCAACTGTTTTATAAAACATTCTCCAAGCTGTTACGTCTTCTTCATGCAAACCTGACAACGACTAATACGCGTCCTCAAGTCTCCAGCTTTCAGTGTCTCTGACTGAGGTTTACTGGTTAACAGACACAAAGGTAAGGTTAGGTTAGCCCTTTCTTTGTTTACAGAACTGTCGCTTTAAAATTCTACTTAATTCACAGTTTAAGATAATACTTAAGTGGGGAATTAGCCCTGTATTTGAGATTTTTTGCTGAGAGTGATCTTTCTGCAGGTCCTCAACGCCAGATGACAGATGCTCAGCTTTGTCCAGTGTCTAAGTATGCACAAGGTATGCTAACTACTTCAGCCTAGCATATATGATGTAGCACAAATACCAAACTGAGTGGAAGGTGAATTTTATGTGTTTGAGACAGTATTTCTGGGGTCTTTGTTTGATTTTTCTCAGTTGAAGGGCACTTTAACAACCCATGGAAAATACTGCTACAATGAGATCTGCATTTAAGTGATGGCGCTACCAAATCATTTATTTATATTCTGAAAGGGTAGTAAGGTGGGAGATTAATATAACAAATTTGTGTAATATGCATGTACACAGAGTGAGTCCAATTCCTAAGCATTTATATTTGTTAAAAAAAAGAATAAAAAGGAAGTTGTGTTTATGAGAAACAGAAAGTAATAGGTGCAGAAAACTCAAAGGTGCATGGTAGTTATTAGTAGGCAGTTTTCATTACTGAATTACCACTGATCAACCACCCTAAAGACTTAGAGTGATGACTATTTAATGCATATTGAAGTATCATGGTTATATGTATAACACAAAACCAACTTAAGGGCTGCTGTTGCTATATAACACAGTGCATATTGCCAGTGCTGTACCAGAAAACTATGTTTTCAAGTATGCAAACAGGGCAGTGGCAATGCATTCTATGAAAGCAGATGATTTTTTTCAAATTAAAAATGATTTTACTACTCAAGTTGAAAGGGAAAAAAATTGAGGAGCTGAGAGACTCCAGCTAACATGATGACTGCAGAGAAGCTGCCTTGTAGCCACAGTGTCATTCTAATTCTTCTGCAAAGTGCTGGAAAAAACTGCTGCCATGGAAGTGAAACCTCCTTCACACAAGGCTTTTTACAATAGAATATATGAACATCTGCTTTAAAAGGTTTAAGTAGAGTTGATCTTGCCCTTCATAGTTATCCCTGACATGTCTATGAACTACCTTTTCAGATATTGACTCTACTGAAAGGTCTGGCAAGGAAAAAAACAAACAACAAAATTGATCTTGTAGGCTCCAGATACATTAACTACAGTAGGACTACTTTCAGAGAAGGTACTACTAGATGTGAATAAGAATTGACATTAAAGGTATCCAACTCCTTGCAAAACAGAATGTGTCCTAGCTAGTTTTCAGGTAATATCAAAGGCTTACCAAGGACACACTTGAAAAACTGGTTGTGAGGGGAGAAACAAGTAAATTATTTCCCCATAACCCTGTAAACAAATTTCTTTTTATCTTTGGAATAAATTCATCTTTATGTAATAAAGCAGTAATTCATCTTTATGTAATAAAGCAATATACAAGAAAGGTTTTCTTACCTGAACATTTCTGACACTTCTACAGTTGCCAGCCAGAAGCTATATGAATTGGCATAGTAATTACAAGTGCCACGACCATGGCACTCAATAAATGGAGCTGAGCGGAATTCTTCTAAACAGGAGCCAGGCGATGCCAAGGCCTGTCCAGAACCTTCTGCTCCAGCACTAGTGTGCTGGTGGAGGAAAGAAACACATAAAGAAAAATCTTACAGTAGGTGCTAAAAATTAAATAGCACAGCCTTCAACTACTAAAATAGCCACTGTTCATTCTTGGTTGAGATAACGCAGTGTCAGACATCTCCATAAGTATCAGTTACACTGGGCTCTGTGTACTGGAAATCACTGTTAATCTTGACTGCTATGGTTAGTAATTAAAGGTAAAGGCTTTCAAATGACAACCATTGTAGTTTTTAATGAAGTAGGAGATAGTTCTTACCATCATGAAAGAGTAACCGATCCAAAGGGAGTCCCAGCCTGGAGGACACAAAGGAATCTGAATGGTCTGACTGTGGACAGCTATCACCATAGCAGGAGCTTCACACACAACACATCTGGTCACACGGGAAGTATCAGAGAAAAATGATATTAAAATATAATAGAAGCATGTTTTATTAAGAATTCTTACACAAAGAAAGGGAGGGAAACTGGTCTGTGAAAGGCTGTCCTATTAATCTAGACTTCTACTGCTCACATATTTTGCAACTGCAAAATCTGCCTGCATTTCCATCAAGAACCATTGGGTAAAATACTGAAGCAGTTACTGAAACAATAGCTCAAAGTCCCCAAGTGAATGTCTTAATCCTAGAGCTAATGGCTCTCATATTCTTTTTCAAGTCCATTGTGATCCTGCACTGCTGATTGTATAGCTTCCCCAGTGGAGGGGAGCTCTTACAGCCTTCTAGCCTCAAATTACTACCACTGCAGGTAAACAGACCTTTTAAGACAATGAATATTCGAAAATGAGCTATTTCTCTATTATTTCCCAGTGCAAAACATGACAAATTCATCTAATATCCAGCCGACACATTGGAAATACATAGATAAGATGTACCGTTTATCTAGACATTAAAAGAGACCTTATAGCTTGCTTTGTCTCACCGGCTAATGAATGGCTGTATGCCCTGCCCAGTCAGTGGCTCCATGTTCATTGGCATTGGCTCTGGAGTTGATAGCCAGTAGGAATAGTCATTCCTTGATGCAAAATTACAGACATTGTTGATGTTGCAGAACATGAAGGGCATGGTGCTGAAACGTCTAAGACAGCTCCCAGCAGTACCTACAGAGTAAGATACATAAAATGTGACAGCAAATTCTCACTTCATTGCTTTTTATAGCAACTGTTTAAGAAGAGTAATTGTATATTCTTCCTCTCCACCTGTGGACGCACAACACATGCTATCAAATTGTCACAAGTGGGAAAAACTTAACTTCTCAGTTTTGGTTTACATTCTTTCATCCTGAATTATAATGTGCAGTCTCTGCAGGTAGTAGATCTTAGTATGCAATCTCCATCTAAGAAATCTCTAAGACTGTCATATCTTCAGAGAAGCAGAGCATTTAAAGGAGCAGATACAACTTTCTTCCCCTTAAAGACAGAGCATACAGAATATCTCACCCAAATCCTGACCATGTGCTCGCTCATTTCCTTGCACATACAGAAGAGAGAATCCATCATATATTCTTGATGTTCCTTGTGGACATAGTGGTGTATCCCTGGTCTGGCTGTGCCGAGTTATAAGGAATCCATGAGCAACAGAAGCTGTTCCAGGAGGACCAGGTGGGCCTTGTAAGCCATCAGGACCAGGAGGTCCCTGTACTCCTCGTGAACCTGTTCACAGGAGAGAAACACAACATAGTATTTATTAACACCATTTCTTGGGTTTTTAGGACTAATACCACTCAGAAACGTAGCATGGTCTTCTAATTAATGTCCCTGTGATTTGGGGGACCTGGTATCTGCTAACACTATCCACCCCAAATTATTTTTTCATGTAAGCTTGGTTAAATCACTGGGGCTATCACAACTAGTTATAAAAGTGAAATTTCCCTGTTTTGTAGGGGCATTGTGAAGTTCAGAGCTGCAAGGCACTAAGATGACAACTGCAGTGGACATGACAGCCACTGGAATGAGTGCAAATCAGCTTCCCAATTCTGAAACATATTAATCTATGTAGGGAGCTTAATAAGGTAATATTCAAACATCTTGTTCAAAATCAAAAAAACGAGTGGCAGAGCAAGCCTCACTAGGGCATGCTATCAGTCTTGAAAAGAGAAGACTTCAGGGGGACCTAATAGCTGTCTTCCAATACCTGAAGGGAACCTACAGGACAGATGGGGAAGGACTTTTTACAAGAGTGTCCAGCGATAGGACAAGGGGAAATGGGTTTAAGCTGAAGGAGAATAGATTTAGACTGTATCTCAGGAAGAAGTTCTTCAGTATGAGGGTGGCAAGACTTTGGAATAAATTGCCCAGAGATGTTGTGGCTGCCCCCTCCCTGGAGGTGTTCAAGGCCACGTTTGATGGAGCCTTGAGTAGCCTGACCTAGTTGAGAGACGTCCCTGCCCATGACAGGGAGGTTGGACTAGATGACGTCTAAGGTCCCTTCCAGCCTAGGCCATTCTATGATTCTATGATATGATAACGCCTGAAACAAAGCCCACCAAAATAAATAGAAAACTGAAGTTAATTTTGGAGTAGGTTTACAAAAATTGAAAATAGGTTAGAACAGCCTTATATGAAAGGAACAACGAGTCATGTGACTGAGAAAGGTATCACAAAAAACATTTGTTCGTGAACAAAAAAAAAAATCCAGAAATATTACTACAACTAGACTACGTTATACCACAGTCATCATTACTTATATTTTTTCATGAAAGCAATCCTAACAGATTTCATAGAGCTACTCAGAGAAAAAAGAAAATAAGACACTATGGATACTCTTTATACTGTTTTAGCTATACTGTTTGAACTGTTAAATTCTCAGACTTATTCTCACAAGTTGTAGTATAGAGCTTTTTCAGAAAATTGTCCCAGTGCTTCGTCTGATTTCTTTTCTCAAATCATAATTCAGTAATTCTAGAGTTACAACCAGATCAAATAAAAACGATCCTGGAATACACATAGTGACATCAGAAGCAGAGTCACTAGCACAGGTGAAGTACAATTGTACTTCATTGGAGTCTCCAGGTACCTTAGCAGGGGCCCAACTCAAATGCCTTTATATGAATGCCTGCACCTTGGGCAATAAACAAGAGCAGCTGGAGATGCTTGTGAGTCTGCAGTGCTACGACCTGATCAGCATTGCAGAGACTGTTCAGGAAGGACAGGCAGGGGAAATGAGGAGGGAGTGTTGCCCTCTATGTCAATGAATGGCTAGAAGGCATGGAGCTACACCTGGCAAGTGATGACAAAAGAACTGAGTGCCTCTGGACTAGGGTGAAAGGAAGGGTATGAGAGTTTACAGTGGGGCTGTGCTACAGACCACCCAATCAGGAGGACCAAGTGGATGAGGCCCTTCATAAGCAGATGGGAGTTGCTGCTCGTTCACAAGCCATGGTCCTCATGGGGAATTTTAATCACCTTGACATCAGTTGGAAAAACAACACGGCAGGGAACCAACAATCCAGGAGATTCCTGGAATGCATTGATGATAAGCTCCTTCTCCAAGTGATAGAAGAACCAACAAGGAGAGGTGCCATGTTAGACCTCGTTCTCATCAATAGGAAAGGGCTGGTGGGTAATGTTAAACTCATGGGTAGCCTTGGCTGCAGTGACCATGAGATGGTGGAGTTTGAGATCCTAAGGGCAGCTAAGAGGGAAGCTCAACGAGCTTGAAACCCTTGATTTCAGAAGAGGTGGCTTTGGCCTCTTCAGGAACCTCCTTGGTAGTGTGCCACGGGACAAAGCCTTGGAGGGACTGGGAGCCCAAGAAAGCTGGTTGACTTTCAAGGATCATCTCCTACAAGCTCAAAGGCATTGCATCCCTAGAAGGAAAAAATCACGCAAAAACACCAGGAGACCTATATGGATAAATAAAGAACTCCTGGCTAAAATCAAATACAAAAGGGGAATACACAAAGTGTGGAAGCAAGGGCTGGTAACCTGGTATGATTATAAGGAAGTTGCTCGAGAAATCAGAAACCAGGTTAGGAAATCTAAGCCTCTGACAGAGTCAAATCTGGCCAGGGATACTAGAAATAACAAAAAGGGATTCTTCAGATATGTGAGAGAAAAAAGCAGAGTCAAATCTGGCCAGTGATATTAGAAATAACAGAAAAGGATTTTACAGTTACATAAGAGAAAAAAGAAAAATGAGAGAGAATGTGGGGCCTCTCTAGAAGGATACAGGTGACCTGGTTACTGAGGATATGGAGAAGGCTGAAATATTCAACAACTTTTTTGCCTCCGTCTTCACTGGCAACCACTTGAACCACACCACCCAAACCACAGAGGACATTGGCTGGGTCTGAGAGAGTGAAGAACCATCCAGGGTAGGAGCAG